TAGATCATCATTAGAAACTACATATTTTCACTAACCTATAAGAAGATCTAAAATCAAAACCCCACTGACTGACACAATGTGCTTCATCAATAGCCACAACAACTATTTTTATTTTTTTTTGTAAATCTTGTAAAGTTTGTTTTGCTGAATCAGTAGCTATCCATTCTGGAGTAATATATAAAACTCTAATATCTCCAGAAAAAAGACTATTCAAAGCGTCAGCCTTAGATGTTTGTGCCGAACCTAGCAGACATGCTTTTATATTGGCCATCTAAAAAAACATTTAAAATTCAATAGTTAATTAACTAATAACTGTCTAAAATAGTTGTCATTGACATTTATTTTATTTTATTTTAAAAACTGCTATCTTTAGCAATAAAGCAAGGTAAAAAATAAATAATAAACAAGTTCAATTTAAACCTCCAGTGAAAGTACTTGATCCTTCATCAATGATATTAATGGGGAAACAACTATAGTTAAACCTTTGCTATAAACTGCTGGATACTGATAGCAAAGACTTTTTCCATAACCAGTAGACATAATCACACATGCGTCCCTTTTTTGCTGAAAAAATAATACACATATATTATATACCTACTAAAAATGAAAAGAAACCAAGACAGTCAATCTAGTCAATCTAGATATCTTACTTCTAAAACCGAATATATGATCTCCCATTGCATGGACCGAAATGTAGAATGTCCAAAATATTTTCTAAGCACAGATATGTGCTGTGGACTGGGTTCAGCTAAAGACATGTTAAACCTTGAAAAAACGAATAAAAATTATTTAATTGTTTACTATACACAATGATTAATGACTTTACGGGTAATGAAAGTGAGGAATAATAATAATAGATCGAGATATACTTTGAATACGAAGGACGTAAGTGCAGTGAAGAGTAAGACCGAAGACGACAATCAGACTAATTAATATAATAAGTAATAACTAATAAGACTAATAAGTACTATGGTTTCAAATGTTTTGATTTGGATTTGAACAGTTCGTTTTTCAAACCTCTTATCACTATTAATGATAAGGATTAAAGGTTTGTTAAAACTGTTCTGTGGTTAAAACCAAGGAATAAATTCGAAAATATTATGGGTGTATGAACAAATAAGACCCGGGCATCGAGATCCAAATTCCAAGCCACACGTGGTAACAATATGGATCTTTATAGTTGTTAATTGTTATATATGGATCTTGGGATCTATATAGTAAGTTCTCATCCCTTGATCAAAATGTCTCACTGGTAACTATATAGTATCAGATTAGGTAAATAAAAATTATAATAATAATTTTTATATACTAGTATACTACCTAATACAGTAATATTTATAACAGTTAACAGATCCCATAAAAAAAAAAAACTTTTAAATCTTAATTAATAATTTTTAACTAATAAATCGAATTGAATCGTTCATGGTGTTGTATATGTATGTATTTGTACTAATTACCTAACTCCTACCTATTCGTACATTTAATTTGACGTTTTATTCGTTATGCTTACACTATTTACAGCTTTTCAATTTCTATCTAATTTTTTATACACGAATATAGGTACTTTTAAATTATTATTCATTATTATTTTAACATGCAAAATACATTGTTCATATAAATAATAAAAATGAGTAATAGAAGTGATGATTCTAATTAATCAAATTGTAGTGCTATTACTAAGTGAAATTTATATTTCGGAAGAATATAAATAAGTATGTAGTAAAATATCTAAATGAAATTAGGTACCTACTGATATTTAATAGGTAGGTATGCAACATAGTCGTAATACTTCAAATATTTGTATTTTCATAAATGCAGTTTAGTTACTTGATTTCTATTATGATAGTTTTTTTTTTTTACGACTAATTGTATTAAAGTATCAATAATACGCAAATGTGTAGGTAGGTATGAAAATAAATGTAATTTTTTAGATTCCAAACGGAGTGATGATTTTACAATAACATGAGTTTTTTTTTATCTGTATAGGCAATAAGTACAACCAACTTATTAAAAAATGTTTTGATTTTAAAATTTTGAAGATGGTTTTGGATAGAACATTGAATCTAGATTGAATTTTAGGGATGTCAAAACTACAAATTTCTAGTATTTTTTAAAATAACCTGGCAAAACAAAAATTTTTGTGACAAAATCAATATAGTTGTTTTAACATAACTCAAATACAAATAACAATAATAAATACTTGAAATTTTTACCAAAATTTTCAAAAATAATATGAGTCTTTATAATTAATAGTTCTGAGGAAACCATTTCAAAATTTAAAATGTTGAACTTTTTGAATATTCTTTATCTTGTACGTTAGCAAAAAAAAAAAAATTATGCGTAGCTCTTTAAAGAAATATAAAGATTTATACTCAAAATGATGTCAGTCACAGTGAAGTGTTAAAATACTAGAAATACTCTAAACACTGTGACATCCAAAAAAAAAAAAAATTAAAAAATTACCGGCTAAGGGTCTTAGAAAAATTCAGGCCCAGTTGAATACACATCAGAAAAATAGCTTAAGTTTTAAAAGGTATTACATTGTTCATAATTTATTGTAATACAGGAAATGTTAATTTCATTATTAATATAAATATTTTGAAATTAAGATAACTTCTCTGATTTTATTGATGTACCAAAATAAATTATGAACAAATTACAAGGTTAAAAAACTAAAACACAAAATATTTAGACAAAAGATAAAATTTACAATTTATTTAATATATTAAACAAACACGTGAATCAAATAAGAAATGCTTTTATGAATATAAAATACGAACACATACTTTACAACCATGATTTTAAATTATGGCAATACAATAAAAAATTGTCAATAGCATTGAACAAAAATAAAATACTAAAAACTTTATTCAAGCATATTATATATTATTGATAATATTAATCATGTCAATAACTGGTGAAAAAATAAAATGTATTATATTTTTCTTATTATATACAACATGAAATACTAATAATAGTATGAAAAAATATGAGCATATAAAAAATAATTTAAATTGAGTCTTTATGACTATCTGTTGGTTAAAAGATGTCCACAAAATTAGACATCCTTAGAACACATGAATACACATAACAAAACACGTCATTACATGGACTATGTATGTATATATATAATGGATTATTAATATAATATGTAAAACTTAGAATAAATGAAAATACATGTTTATGAATTTTAGATTAAAATGATTAAGGATTTGTTGTACTTTAATGTAATAACAAAAGTATTTTCTGTCTTTTGATCGCTTAAATGATAAATTATATAATGAATATAAAAAAAAAAAATATATAATTATATATTTGAACTAGACGGGAGAGATCAATAAATCACAAAATGAAGTACTAGTTTAATTATAAATCAAGTACAACATTATTCAGTTCCCAAGATCAAATTTATACGTATATATTTATGTATAAATTTAAAAAAAAAAAATATAGATTTACAATTTTTATTTTGAGTAGTACAATACTTAAATTGCATATCATCAGAATAATGCAACAATAGTACATGAAAAATAATAAATATTATGTCCTCCAAATAAAAAAATTATAATAACAAAAAGAATTAAGAAAAATACTATAGGCAGTATAACATGTAATAATATAACTAAAAATAAGAATTATAATAAATGTGCTAAACTCATAAGCAACAAAATGCTAAAAATGACATAAATAGAAAAAAAAATGTTACTATTTGCTTAAAATATTTACTAAATGCGACAATATCACTTTTTACATATTTTAAATATTGTTTATATATATATTAAAAAAAAAAAAAACCATTAAATAATACTTAACATTTAATTTATGAAAGACATATGCAATGGGCAGTATTAATGCCCTATAACAGTAATAATTAAAAATATTTAAAATACTTTAAACTTAAAAAAAAATAATACTTTTTTTAATTAATATTATAGCTGAGCAAATCTCTTGGTCTGAATAATTGGCAAATATTTTTAGTAAAATTGTTGTTAAAATTCTCAATAAAAATAATTTTTAATGATAATTAAGTGTATGTCAATTAAAATTTAGAAATATTTCAATCAGAAAGAATTTTAAAATAAACTAATTCATTGCACATATTTAAAGTTAGTTTAAATATTGATCATTATTAAAGCTAAATGAAGAATGTTAAATATTATTGATAAATAACAATAAATGTTTAACAAAAAAACAATACCAAAAATTATGAAGATCAATTTTTTTCTCCAAAAAATAATTGTTAATCAAAATTGATTCAGTCTTAAAAAGACATTTTTTTTTATCACAAAATTTAGAATTCTTATAATTTAAATGTTTTGAACACTTATGGGCAAGCACTTATTAAACTATATCATTTCACACTGGTAAAATACATAAAATACACACTTAATAGTTGCTGTTGTTTTTGTTTTCAAAGTTGGCGTGTATTTTCTAGCTTCAAGTATAATTTTAAGGCATTCAGATTACTGTAAAAAACAAAACATAAATAACATAAATATTGTATTTTATAAAATAATACATTTCATATCATAATATTAAGATCAATTTTACACATTAAAATGTTATAGCCCAAGTCAAATATATACTTACGGTTTTATATAAAGTATATTTACAATAATCTAACTTTCTAACTTTGATTCATAATTAGGGCAAAACAAAGTTTATTTAATAGTAACAATATAATTCTGTCAGAAATCCTAAGTTTTTGTTAATGAACTAAACAACATTTTTTTTCAAAAATGTTTTCTACAAGAGGACTAACATTTTAAAATTATAACTATAATGTGTTTATTATTTTAAATAGATTATAATGTTATATAATAATAGCCTAAGATATGTAAAATATAGTAAAGGCATAACGTAAATTAGTATTTGAATTTAAATAATAAATATAAATGAATTGTATAGATATATTTATTTAATTAAAAACTGTATCTAAGGTGAAATAGACTGAACTCACAAAATGGGTTTGTCTTTGGATAACAAAGAA